GTGCGAGAAGGCATCAACAGAACGCGCTGTCGTGCAATCGGAGTGCCTGTGGACTGCACTAAACATGCAAGACAAAGTATTATTATCATCATTGGGGTTATTATTTGTGGTTGGCTCAGCCGTCCTGGGGCATGGCTGGTCAGCATATGGTGCTGGGGATCGAACCGCTGCGCTTCCCCAAGCAGGCGCTTCAGACCGCTGAGCTATCTCGCTGGCCCTGAAGGTATTACTTTCAAAAAATATTTATGAATTGTGCTTGTTCATTGTTAAAAATAGAGCATGTGTCTTCACTAAAGCATTAAATAAAAAAGATACAAGGGAAAGATCATTTTGTATTTATATATACAAAATAGGATAAATTTACAGCTACTTCCACTTAACTCAATGAGAAGAAAGAGGTGTACTAACAGTGCTTGGTCAGAATAACCTGTCTGCTTCTTGTATCATGGATAACCACTAAGAAGATAACAATGTACAATGTATTGACTATCAAAATTGTCCTGTTAATCAGCTGTGAAACTGTCTCATTCATATTTATTTCTCAATAAAAAAATAAATTAAAAAAAAACAAAGAAAAAAAGCGTTAAATAGTAAGAACACAATAATGGCAAAGTGCAACTATATCCCCTCAATTTAGATAGATAGATAGGTATATATTCCTCCTTCCTCCCTTTCTGAGATGGTTTAACTATACAGTTCAGGTTGGCTTTAAACTCACAATGATCCTCCAGCCTTAGCCTCTCAAGCATTGGGACTACAGATGTGTACCACCATAGTTGGCTCTTTTGTTTTATTTTGGAGACAAAGTCTTGTTCTGTAATTCAGGCTGGGCTTAAATCCTCCTGCCTCATATGCTGGAGTGCTGGGATTACAGGCTTGCCTCGCCATGGCTGGTTTAGATGGTACTCTCAAACTAAAATATGAACATAGTTTTTCAGCTAAAAGGCCAAAAAGTCATCAGCTATCATATTGCAAAACAGAAATGAAAGGAAACTCGTCCTAGGTTGACCCACCCCTAACCTCAGCTCCATGGAGGGCTGAGTCACTGGTGCCAAGGGCAGGATCTGGCTACAGAATGTCACCCACAGAGACATGGGCTCTTCTTCCTGCATACGGGGTCATCAGGGTCCTGTGAGACCTCTACTCCCCGGTCCTTTAAAAAGGGCTCAGTAAATGGTCTTGTTCTGTCAAACTGAGGCAAGGTTGAAAATGATTCTTTGTGTTGTACCTAGCGACAGGACCTGAGAAGATTTACTCTTTGTACTTCCTCTTCTGTTACCCAGACCGGTCCAGAAAGCAGGGGAAGGGCATGTCAAGGCTGGGGCTGCAGGAAAGGAGCGCATGAAGTGCTAAAGAGTGATGTGCTCACAGACTGCGCAGTGACACTGTGTCCCTATGTTATCAGGGACACACACTTCACGTGATCTGGTTTGGTTCTCAGCCCTGGTTTTATCTGGGCATGAAAACTCTAACTGGAGACGGGCAGTACTATCCGCAGCAGCACCATGGAAATATCAGGGCTCTGTACCTCGCTCAGCACAGTCCAGGGTCACCAAGGCCCTGGCCAGGCAGGAAATGCCGTCTCCAGGGCCCATACCAACACATGTCACAACTCCAATCAGTCACCACAGATCATGTGCACAAATAAGCACAGCAGCGTTTCAATAAAACTTTATGGGTACTGACATCTGGCTTTCACGTAATGCTTACATGCTCAGAAATCTCTCCGCTGTTTGAACATGTAAGACACAGCAGAAGCGCGTGGACCATATTTAGCTTGAAGGTCATGTTCACCACCCCATACTTACTACACTAAGTTTTAGACCCAGCTAGCAAAGTCCTGAATTTTGAGTGCGTCTTTCAGTTATCTACTGATCCCTTGTATATGAGGGAGCACAAAGGTAGCTTTGCAAATATTTTTTTAAATTTTTTTTTATTATTTATTCATTTATTTTGTGTGTGTGGCCAGCTCTGCCCACCAGGGGGCGGGGCCGGCTGGCATGTGGTGCTGGGGGATTGAACCGCGGTTCCTGTGCTTTGCTTAGCTTAGTTTGTTCTAAGTAGGTGCTTTAGACCACTGAGCCATCTCACCAGCCCCTAGCTTTGCAAATATTAAAGGGACAAATTACATTACTCAGGGGTGTCCATCATTCAAATAAATAAATAAAAAAAGATCCCTCTGGGTGTGAGTGCAAAATAAGAGAGGAAATGGACAGCTAGGGCCTAAGCGTGTGATGCGTACACAAAGGGATTATTTTGGCACCAATGCCCCTGTGGAGGAACAGGCTCAGCATGATGTCTAAGCCCACTAAAGCTCTAACTTCAACCCTCGAATTCACTCGGCGTGCAAACACTCTCAGGTCAGGCTCAGTCCTTTAAGATGAGCATACATTACAAAGCCTGGCGTCGGTCTTGCCACGCTTCTGCTCTGAATGATTTCAAGTGCAGACTGCTTTCACACATGTAGCAGTGCTCTTTAAAATACATGTAGTTGGCCGGGGAGATAGCTCAGTAGAATAAGCGCTTGCCTGGCAAGTGCAAGGGTCTGAGTTCAATCCCCAGTTCCACCAAAAAGAAAAAAAAAACCATGTAGTTTATGTTTAGGGGCATAGTCTTTCATCTAAACTTCAGGAAAGTATTTTCTGGCAATGGGTGCGGCCCCTTCTTGACTCATCTCTGATAGTTTTTGTTACTAGTCCGCAAACAAGCCAAGAAATGGACATGTGAGTAAGGAGGAGGTAGAAAGGAATGGGCCTTGTGCAACACTCAAGACAGCATGAAGAATATCTGATGACTCAAGTGTTCAGAGGCAAATACTGCTCTACAGCGACCATCTGTTGGTCGTAACTGCAGGGCCAGGAGCTAGGTGCTCCTCACCACACAGCCTTTGCATCACCGTTTACTGCCTACCTCTTCTGGCTCCACTGGCTTCGCTACGCAAGCACTGGCCCTACTCTCCACCTCAGGGCACAGAGGGGCACCTACCTCACCAGGGTGGGGAATCTCCCTTTGTAACCGACTGGAATAAAACATTTCATCATAGGGCCGGAGAGATGGCCCAGTAGGATAAGCATTTCTCTGGCAAGTGCAAGGGTCTGAGTTCAACCCCTGGTTCCACCAAAAACAAAACAAAACAAAACAAAACAAAACAAAACACATTTCATCATATTCCTCCTCTTTTAATTCAAGGCAAAAAAGAAAAAGGAATTTTAAAGTACATTGTAACTATAGCCCAACAGCTATCACCTTAGGCATGTAGGTAACTCCATTCACAGGTGTTTTGGCTACTGTTGAAGATACATAACTGAGGATAAGTTCAGAATGTTCTTTTATAGATTTTATTTTATTTATTTATTTATTTTTGCAGTACCGGGCATTGAGCTCAGGACCTTGCGCTTGCCTGCTTATTCTACTAAGCTATCTCCCTGGCCCTAGATCTTAATTTTTAAAAAGTTCCTAAAACTCCAAATCTAAAATTTAAAGCTGTTTTTGGTAATTTCACTCTTAAACTCACAAAGACTGGTGTCTACAAATGCTTCAGAGGTCACTTCCACAGCCTGTCACTGACACAGAGCTCAGCACACCCACCAACTTCGCACTCACCATTTACAGCAACTCAGGGCTGAATGTGTGGCTTCATGGCAGAGCCCTGCCAAGCATGTACAAGGTTTGGGGTTCCCTCCCCAGCACAGGGAGTGGGGTGGAGATGGACAGGCAAGTGAATTCACAACAACTTTAACTCTTTAATCCAATAAATTCAAACTTAACACATGAAATGTAGCTAAGACAGACCTCACACAGTAAGAAGCAAACACTAATAATGTTGGTCCTTTAGTGCCACTATCCAGGTCGGTAATTTTCAAATATTTCCCTCCCAAACAAATTTGGCAACACGCTGGTCTCTCCTCAGATCATATAAGTCTTTCGCCTTTTATTAAACAAGTCTGCGGTCTTCAAGGCTCTCCAGAGCCAGGTGTGGTGGCGCGTGGAAGCTGAAGCAGGAGAGCCGCTGCCTCGCTGCTGAGGTCGCAGGGCCTCTACTGGCTCAAGGCCAGCCTAAGCTGTGCAGTAAGCAAGCTCAAGGGTAGCCTCAACTACACCCTGTCTCAAAAAACCAGAAATCAAACAAACAACAAGAAAAAGCTTGTCAGTCCTTTTCCTGTCAAATTGAGAGAGTGAGTCTTTGGAAATGAGTTTCTAGGAAGAGCAATAGCACACAAGGTCTGAGCGTGTCCTCCCACCGTCCTACTCGGAATACTTAGTCCACAGCCAAGCTATTACTGAGCACATACGCGTGATCACACTGCTGCAGGAAAGGCTATACTGCAGCCTGTGGGGAGCACTGAAACAGGAACACTCCTCTCAGAAACAGATCCCAACCCTTCCTCCTCACAGTAACACTCACTTTAACACAGGCTTGATGGTGTAGGGCTTTTCAGAAGCTCAAATCTGGAAGAACTTCTCACTAACTACAGTGAGAAACTCACATTGTGCTGGCTTTGGATGACTTAACTTTCAAAGCCCAAACCCCTGGTCTTGTTGTTAGTCAGGCCCCGCTGAGGAAGTGTTTCTCTAGGTTACTTTCCACAGTCGCACTGCATTCTTTTGCTATGCATGTCAATGACAAAGAATCCAGGAAGCCTCCCAACCTCCACTGAACACCACAAACTACCCCCAGCCTCTCCATAGAAACAAGCTCTAAAGAAGCCAAATAACCCTCTTTTTAAGTTGTAGGCAAACCAATTACTTCTAGTTCAGAAATGACTGGTGACACAATGTTATGCCACAGCAGCCCAGGTTTGGGGAAGAACCAACCTCCCTTCCAGGGCTGGGGGAAGAAAGGAAAGCGCTCATGCGGTCCCTGCATTCCCAAGGGCCATGGCCCCTTCCCTCCCCAGGCCAGACGTGCCCACTCTGCCCCACACTCATCTGTGCCTTGCCCAGGGCAGCCTCGCACGCACTCACCTGCGCCCTGCCCACTCTGCCCCGCACGCACTCACCTGCGCCCTGCCCCGGGCGGCCTCGCGCTGTCAGGCCGCTCACGCCTCCTGCGGTACAGCCCAGAGTGCAAGAGCCCCTTGAGCTGCAGGGCCATCATGTTCTCTGCAGCTCTGCTGGGCGCCCGCTACGGCACTGGCTCACCGCCCTGGCATGCCACAGCGCTCAGCACACCTGCCTGTGGAAACCTCCTGGCAGGCAGCAGGCCTGAGCGCAGCTTCCGGTCAGTCTCTGTGCGTCCACACCCTCCTCTAGGCTGCAGGCCTTATCTCAGGGCCTCCTGCCTTGAGGAGGGGGAGAGGGGCGGGTGCTCATACACAGCTCACGCAGTCATATTGCGTGTCCCCAAGCTGATCTCTCAGGACCATTCTGAACTGAAACTGGGCTAAGAAGCGTGGAAAGATCAGGACTGAAGAAGGGTCCTGCCCAGTTTTATCTGCCAGGAAATCCATTAACGTGTCACAGGCAGCTGTCAGTTTAAAGAAGTGCCTGATCATCAGAAGCTCCTTGAGACATTTTCGGGAGGGGGGGGGTCCCTAAAGGGAAGCAGTCCAATTCCTCCCTCTTACCACTCCACTCTAACTCCTCTCTAGAGCGGAAGGAAACGTCTGCTCCGCCCCCTTCCCATTAACTACTGAAAAACTCCTAACTAAAAGGACAGTTTCTTCTGTCAATTTCCATTTCATTTTTTGAATCTGTGGCTCCCTGCTGTGCACGCACCCACTCACGTAGCCACTCTGCTGGACCAACACGACGCGCCACCGTCAGCCCCATCCACTTCAGTGGTGGTCCTGGGGTAGGGGTGGGGCAGACAGTGGGGCAGAGTCAAGGGCAAGTCTTTGGTTCCAAGTGGCATCAGTACAACAGGAGGCAGGGCTGCACGCTCTGGGCTGATGCAGTCCTGTCATGACCTTGTTTCTATCACAAGCAGGACGGACCAACAGACAGCCGGCAGGTTCTCAGTCAACGGCTTGGCTGCCTGGTACTTGGGATTTCTCTTTGGGCAAACATTTGTACCAGTTCTTTTTCCTTCTAGAACCCCTCATCAGCAGGGTCTGACAGGGCTCTCACACCAAAGGTTAACTGATTAATGTAGTCCCCTCTCTAAGAGTAAATGTTACAAACACAGCGGAATGCAAAAGAGACTCAAATCACTGGGCTGCTGGTACCAGCTACACCCTGGGCTGCCTGTCACCCTGGCCCTGCAGCTGCACTGGAAATAGACGTCTGTCATAGACAGCAGGCATGTCAAAAGACAATGGAAAAGTTAACTCTGTTTGTCTCTCTACTACACTAAATTGGCCAGGAAACATGTCCATCGGGTGACAGCTCCATCCCGTCCCCTCTCTCTGGAAGGACAGAGAAAAAGCTGGTCACGCTAGCTGCTCTCGGACACTGGAGGGAGGAGCAGGTAGCTTTTCCATGAAAGCACTTTCTGCCTTCTAAACTGGGAAAATCCAGTCTATGTAAAATAAGTGGAAATAATGACAAGATTCACATGTCTTCTACACAAAGCCCTAAGGTTCTAAGACCTGAAATATAGGGAGGTTGAAAGTTTATAGTAAGAGAAGCATAACATTTGGAGCTCTGATCTAACTCCTTATATTGAGACAGGTAGAAAAAAATGAAGAGAAACAAGAACCTACACTTTTTTCTTCAGCCATCAAAACAGAACAGGTGCTTGATGAGCAAACTACAGATCAGCCACATGCTTCTGCAAACACAGAAACTCCAACACTGCTACCTCGAGTACAAGTCACTGCAGCGTGCAGGCCCAGTATATGCCTGACCTGGGGGCTCCGTCCTCAGCATGGCAGAGAGGGCAAGAAAAGGGAGGCAACTGTTGCTGCAGCACAGTACTATGACTAGCCTCTTCTGTGAGGACCTTAGAAGCCCTAGCCCATCTGCTGGTAAGAAAACAGGGCCTGGTGACACGGTGGGCCACCCAGACAGGAAGCACAGAGCTGTGCAGGTGGACCCTTGCTGATGAGCCCAGGGTCGGGAAGACCTGAGGAGAGAACAAAGCACCAGTTCCAGGTCCCACAAGGAACCAGCTGCGACAGCTCTTGCCCTCTGTCCTTTTGTTGCAGGCAGCCTGAGTTAGATAGAAATATTGTAGGTAGTTAGACAGGGACAGGCCCTCGAAGGGGATGACAAAGACCAGACACCTTACTGGGGAGATGCTCCTGGTGTGAGCCAGACCTAAAGATCAAACAAATGCTGACATTCCTAAAGTTGGCATCCAGGATTGCTCATTAGT